CCCCCCCCCCCCCCCCGGACAACTTGGCTTGGACCTTGAGTCAACCTAGCTCCACCTATACCCAGCTCAACCTCCATTTCAGCCTTGTCCATTTTAGACCGACGGAGGCGGACTCGCCAAACGGCGACCCTTGGCCTGATTTGCTGGTGGGGAAGACTCATAGTTACGAGAGTGATTTTTGCTGAGATGTATCGGCATCACCCAAAGTATGCACAGTTCTCTTCCCACCCCCCGCCTTCCCACCCCCCGCCTTCCCACCCACCGCCTTCCCACCCCCGCCATACCTTTTCTTGACCTTTCCCCCACACATTTCGGGATGTGTGGGGGAAAGGCCAGTGTAGGATGGCGTTTCCCCCAAGGATTTGGGGGCGAGGATTTGGGGTGTTATCTGTGAGTGTCCGTGTAGTATTGGTATAGTAGTTCCAAGAGTTACCCCATACGTTGGTTGTCCTGGATTTGGTCAGAGCATAGAAGTGCCAATGTTGGTAGAGTTGCCTTGTCGTTTACAGGGTCTTGTGCAGCGCGTTTCGATGAGTGTATTGCGGCAGATCCGCCGCGATCTGCATTTCTGTAAAGCTTTGCGGGAATTATGTAAGGTGATGAAGGGTAGATCGGCAAGTGCGGAGAATGCGAACACCATAAATGCAATCGATGCGGAGACGGCTCAGCAGACGGACCTTGGGCGGTTGAAGCGTTGTTCGGGTTATGCGGAGTTGGCGCATCTGGATGAGAGTTTAGAGGATTGGATGGTGGCGTTGACAGAGATTGCTTCGCAGTTAAAGACGTTGACATGCCTGGCGTTGCAGATGACGAACCATGCAATGGTGAATTGGCCTGCACGTATCTTGTCTAGTGCTATCGACGTTTGGTATCTGGACTTGCCCGGTGCGTTTTCGGGCATGTCCGAGAGCTACAAGGACAAGGCGGACCGGCTTCTAGGGCCTCCGCGACCAGGTGTCAGTCGTAGCGTGTCGCTGCCACTGTCGCCACCGCTAAGGCAGAAGCAGTGCATAACTGAGCAGCTAGTCAAGCTGGCACGCATCAAGTTCCATATGACCAGCCGGACCGCATCCTCCAGCCGCAAGTCCATGGACGAGGCGGTGTTCGGGACCAAGGATGTACGCGCACGCGCCGCCTCGCTGCAACCTTGTTTGAAGAGAGTCAAATCCTTTTCCCCGATGTCCTATGCACCGTCGGAAATGACCCCCAGCCCCACTCGGTCGCAAGTAATTCCGAACGTTCTCTTCAAGGGCATTTTCGACAAGATGTACTTCAAGGCTGTACACGGATCCCGAAACATGTATGCACCTTACCTCGACCGATTCGAGGATTTTCTGGGGCCGTACATGGAATTCAACGAAGATGGCTGTACTTGCTGCTGCGCCCTCGGCAGCCTAGACTACCCCGAATTTCACAACCTCGCCCAATGCGCGCTACGAATCGCACAAAGGGTACAAAAATACGCGTCCAACCCCCTCGTGGCATTGCGCCACAAGTCGGCGAGTGCCGCACAACCGAAAGTCTCCTTCATGAGTCGTTGGATGCCCGCTGCGGCCACTGCCAACGGAGTCAATACCGTATTGGAGAAACAAGAGAAGTTAACACAACTTGCAGAAAATTTGATTGCTACCAAAATTAGTCCTCATGTCCACTCGGCCCTCGAGACTAGGATCTACAAGGCGGAAAGCTACGTCACGCTGCTCAAAGCGTACGTTAACGAGCTCTCGGTAACCTTCCGAGAGCTCGAAAAACTCGATTTGGAGGCGAAACAGCTCATTCACGCCAAAGAGTGCGTGTCTAAAGAAGGCATCTCGAACAAACCTTCAGGCGGAGAAGAAACTCTCTTTGGAACCCCCAACTTCAAGCAGTACCATGATGGGGACAGTGAGATCAGAAAGTCCTCCAGCGCAGCACCACTATCTGCAGGCCTACGGAGCAGAGAAATTGGCATGAGAGCAGCAGTTCTCGTCTCCGAGATACTTTTCCCGGCAGCGTTTACCCCCCACGACGCCATGAAGAAACCACCAAGCCTGGCCAGTGACAGCCAGGACTCGGGCTGCGGGCGCGGCAGTCGTCACTACTACCAAGGCCCAAACGAGCAGGCAACCCGCAAGCCAACAGACGAAATCCCCAGCATTGGAAAGATCATGATGATTTTGTCACAATGGAAGCGGTTCATAGACCCACACCTCATGACTCAAATGCATCTGCACCATCTGGACGCAGACGACGGGTGCTAGCGCTCTCTGTAAGCCCGTCGCAAGGCGAATGGTCGTTATTGCACACGTGTGTGCAATAATGATTCATCGAATTCGGTCGGACACATATATTTACATTTATTGGTTAAGCTTCTTTGCTCGCTTATCTCTGGCGTGATGCTTGTCGACGGGCTTAGTCTTTTTCGGGTTGGTCTGCGGCTTCGGTATGTAGCCACCTTTCCTTTTGTCCGGTCCCCACATTCTGGGCTCCTGCGGCAGATCTTCTTGATCATTCTGTCTGGCACTTTCGCTGTTGGTTGCGGGCGTTCTGTCGGGGTTAGGGGAAGGGACGCCAGCACTGGGGGGAAGCACGTCGGTCTTCTTAAACTTTTGTCTGGCGTTTTGGGCCTTCCCTGCTCGCCATTCCTCATTTGCCCTGCGCGCTTCCTCAATTGCCAGCTGCTCTTTTTCAGCTTCCTCTCGCTTCCGTTCAAAGGTTTCCAGCTCATCTTGGGTTCCCCAGGCATGTACACCTGCCTCTTCAAGTTCGCCCATATTCGCCTGTTCACGGGCCATGCGAATAGTTTTGTTTTTAGCGTCCCACCCCTGTGCATTGATCTTGTAGGGCTCCGGGGCCCTTTTGGCCGCCGTTTGTGTCTTGGCGTATTCAGTAAGAAGTGTCAGAAGCTTATTTGGGGTGGTTGCAAAGGAGAGGTTCCTGAAAATTCTGGGCATTTTTTTGCAGAACGATTCCGGGTCACGAGCCACGGACTCAATTGCAACCTGCCAGGATTCCGACTGGCACAGAGCATAACGATAGCATGCCAACAAGTAGCCCTTCCGTGGCACTTTCTGCAAGTTGCCTCGCTTCTCCACCAACATGTCTTGGATAATTTTTACTCGGTCCGTTTCCTCGTCCGTGAAGTTCGGTTCGAACAAGTCTCGCTGGGCGCGTTGCTTCACCTGATTTTCCAGCCGCTCCTCGGCCTGCTCCTCCTCATGCTCCAGCGCCCGATCCGCGCCTAGAGTCCAAATGTCCAGCAACGCATCCAGGTCAGATCCGGGGCCGTAAGTGGACTTGAGTCGTCGCGTAAACTGCGACAAAGGGTCAACGGGGACGGCGCTACAATCATCCCAGATGGTCACCAGAACCAACGAGAGGGCCGTCAAGTTCTCCAGACTGTGCACAATACCCATACCACCTTCAGGGCCTGGTTCAGTACCACTTTCGGAATACAAAGACACTGGGAACAACCATTCATCCAAAAGGGACCCCATAGCCCTGCAGGTCATCTGCACGCGAGCCAACTGCTTCGCACGACTCTGTCCAACAAGGGTCAAACGGCAAATCATGCAACTAGCGATTAGTATGTCACAGCGATCGTAAAACGACGAGTCTCCAATAGCATACAAAGAGTTGACCAAATTAAGTGCCTCATCCGCCGACATTACAATCGAGCTGTCGAAGGAGAATTTGATTGTTTCCATCAACAAGGACAGCGTCGAAAGATCAGCCTCGAGGTTCCACGAAGGTTTCAGTCTGTATCGATAAAAGTACAGGTTAAGGAATTCGACCCCGGCTACTAAGCCTTCGATGTTCTCGACCCGGGTGCCAGTGGCCATGGCAACTATAATCTCCTTCAAAAATTCGCAATAAGAAGCACGAACATCTTCCTGCCGCTTGCACAACAAGCCGCATACACGACCTAGCGCTAACGCTCTTTTGTCACTTGCTTCGCATCCAAACAGAGACACTATCAAGCTGTACGTCTGCGAAATATCCAGATCCAAACAGTCCGCAACGTTGCCTATCGCCAAAGCCATTTCGCAGTCCATCCCTAACCAGGAGATTGACGACTTGAGGTATTCCTTCAAATTCGCAAACGCGTCCAACAGACCCTGTGTAAGCCCGTACTGGCTTGCTGCTTGACATAACTGCGAATATACTCTCGAACTCACCTCACCATACCTGCACCACAATTCATACTACCCACACACATGGGAGCGACACACATGGGAGCGACACACATGAGAGGCCGTCATGTGCACTCACCTCGCGCTTCTGATGAGAACTTCTATCTCCACAGGAATGGAAGACAAACAGACGGCATACAGTCCGTCAATGGACTTCATTTTCGAACGAGAAAAAATTAGGCCGCTCAGTGGAGAACAAGTCGCTCAGTGGAGAACAAGCCACTGAGTGGAGAACAAGCCGCTCAGTGGAGAATAAGCCACTGAGTGGAGAACAAGACCTCAGTGACCACTCATGGGATAACTTACTGCTAACCCGACGGTCCACCACGGGCTATTCTGATCCTTGAATTGGGCGCTGAATTACCGTTTAACTTGTCATTGAATTGCAGGCTTTTGAGGGGTGGCTTAACAACTTGAGGGAACGCGTCAACTGAGCAGTGTTCGGACACCCTGCTCAAGGATCCACCATATCCTTATTAGAAGCACAAGGAGGAGAAGGACGCGAATGTCCAGGTTTTGCAACCACCTAATCACAGCTTGCGGCTCCAATCCAGTCAGGGCAGTAGACAACGGCGATGAAACGGCATCGGACAAGTCGTGCGACCTACCGCTCCAAGGGTCGCCACCGGTCGCACTTCGAAGGATGGTGACAGTCGCGGAGGATGAGGTAACTCGCCGCCTGTTCCGTTTCGGGACCTCTGGTACGATTCGCCTTGTCTTCTCTGCAGTCTTCTCTACCCTCGTTTCTGACGGCTGGAGGAAAGAGATGTTGAGGAAGAGGTTGCTAATGCGCGCCAGAAAGGCTTCTCTCGAATTTTGCTCCCGGTCCAGGCCTTCCTTCCACCTATCCAGATCCAACTCATCAGTCTGCTTATGTGTTCCGCTATCCGTTGCACGGGGTGCTCCGAGTGATGTAGAAACGACGGGGTCAAGGGATGCACACTGACCGGATTTGCGTCGCTTTTTGTCTCTGGCCTTTGTAAATCTAGATATAAATCCGGACCCGAATCGGGGTTCGAATCGGGGTTTAAATCGGGGTTTGAACCGGGGTTCGGATGCAAGGGTTATTAAAGGTCCAGAGGAGTCGCTGGCGGGGTGTTCCCCGTCCATCGGTCCTGAGAAAGGTTCTCGGCCGAGTCGTCCATCTAGTATCTGTCGGATAATGTCGCAAACTTTTCGCCAGTTAGAAAAAGTATCATTGAATAACTTGCTCTGGAATATAACCACCTTGTGCAAGCAAATCTCACATTCGAGGACCACATGGGTCCAACCTTCTATATTAATTATGTCATTTCTCATTTCATTATCCCCGGTTCTCATTTCATTATCCCCGGTTGAGGAAAGAGCGTTGATGATACAACCAGTTTCGCGACAACTTTTCTTTACATCTGAAAGGCCATTTGTCTCTAAAAGGCCATTTGTCTCTTCGATTTTCTGACCATAAACCTTCGCACCAGATATCAAATAAATCCTAGACTTTACACAAAATGAGTCTTCATAATTCCGAATCTCAGTAACAGTCTCTATCAAAACTTCAGTATCACTTATCACTGTGGTCGTCTCCCTTTCAAACACTTCATACGAATCTGCCATAAGCAACTTCCGGATCCAATAGGTTTCAATGGGTCGATAATAATGTCGATAGCCTGCCCCATACTCAATTAAATCGCAGTTTTGACGTCGCAACAGTCTACAAAACACACCACACTATCCCGCACACACTCTGTGCCGCACACACACTGTGCCGCACACACACTGTGCCGCACACACACTATGCCGCACACACACTATCCCGCACACACACTGTCCCGCACACACATCGTGTCGTATGCTACTCACTCAATATGGAAGTCAGGCGACGTCAGCAACATGGATAACGAGCTAATCGGTGCCCTGTACGATCCCACATCTTCCTTCCGAGATGTCTTCTTCCAATACATTTTTTTTCCGCCCTGCCACTTAGCCAATCTATTTGCCGGAGATATGTCACCCTGCCCGGCACTTTACTGACTTGGGCGCCACCCCGAAAATCGTACTGCACCACCATGTGCCGAGCGGCTTGGTAGATCAAGTCAGATCACAACAACTCAGATTTTTTGACTGCACCAACCCACTACAACCTCGCGGCGGCCACCGACGGGGCCGGAGACCAAACCCTTTGTTACCAACCCCTTCTCTGATGCTGTTCTATATCCCGGATTACTTCCGTGTTCTCGTGAGCAATCACGAGATTCCTGGCCCCTCCGAGTCGCAGACCTTCTCAGCTACTGAGTATTGCTGCAAAAGCCTGCAAAACGGAGGTTCAGACCTGTTCGAAGACCGAGGGCCTCGGCCAGGCCACGTCCCCAGACCATGTTCCGACCACGCACCACGAAATCCATCCAGACCTCAAACTGCCGCGGCTGGATTAAAAATCTAACGGCCGCGGGGACGGCCAGAAGATTCTTGACTCCGACGTCACGCTTGGGCGACACGGTGCATTTATGAGCTCCACCAAAACGTGTGTGCTCGGCTATAAAATGTGCTGCCAGTTGTGAAACCCACCGCGATGCATTGGACTACCCTATCCACAAGATTAAACTACCGTAGACGAATCATCCGACGACGGCGTTATAGGTGAAAAGGACTTTGGGATGAACCCTTTGAAACAAGCCCTGTGGCACACATTCCGCACATGGAAACTGCACCGGGAGGTCTAGAGAAAAACGCAATTCCAGGCCACATGGCGACAGCTACTGGATACACCCACATATAGTTTGAAACCATATAGTATGAACCTATCTGGGGATGAATCCGATAGGTGTCGCCATGTGGCATAGAACCATCCTACTCACTCGCTCTTGGATTGCTTTGGTTTTAAATACTTTTTTTCAAAGCAAAAAAAAAAACTTCTCCTTTGTCTGTTCTGTCCTGTGGTTTTGTCTTGTGGTCGAAAGCAACCACCCCAACTATCCGCTACCGAGAATGTATAACGTTCATGATGTTGGAGTTGATCTAACAACCTGGAACCGGTTGACGCGCCCTCTCGGCATCTCAGCTGAGGGACTGTGTCACTCCATGTTTGACTACATGCTCATGTCACTCAGCTGCTGCTCGTTTTCGGCAGCAACGGCTACACTAGGGCTTGATGTGTCAGGGCCCCAAACGTGACGGGTCTCCTTGTATTACACTAGGCAACGTTTTCATGCTGTACAGAACCTCAACAGGTTCTGAAGATAGGGTCCGGCAATCATTTCTTTCAACTGCTGTCGCACGACGTTCGCACGACGTTCGCACGACGTTCGGTTGAGCACCCTGATTAGCAAATCAGTCAAACTTTCAACGCGTCTAAGTAAAGTGTGAACAGGCATATTTTCATTCCGTTCTCAGCTAGCCAGATGGAACATGTCACAGTCCTCCCACCTCAGACCCATTGATTTCGTCCTTCAATCTTTCGTCTTCAATCCGCTCTTCACATCTGGAGTAACTGCCATTAACAAATCCACCCCCGTACGCTTTTCCAGAGGAGTCCATCCGTTTCCAATGGAACATTTCACGTGCAAGATAGTGCACCCATCGGTGATGGAAACAGCACCTGTGCTATCAACGATTACAGCCAGCAGGTTCCTCCCGCAATGGGAGGATCGCTGGTGCTGTTTCCCGTCTCAGTTAGTCCCAGTTCGAACGTTTTTTGGAACATAAAAGACGTTGGGCATATTTGGGACAGCGCACGCATGTTTGCAGCGCATCACTAGGGGGAGAGACGTTTTTACAAGGGCTGAAACCAGGAATCCAGAATGCTACCAACCCAAAGAGATCTCCCTCCCTCCTTCCTACAAAACCTCCTCTAGTGGCGGAGAGCCCAACAAACCTACGCCGGAGTTCTTCCCAGTGGCGGGAAGAACGGAAAAATCTTGTTTGTTCGCCTCCCCTTGTCGGGGAGATATCGAAAGAGGCGTAACCTCGAGAGGATGTGGTGTTACCGAAACCTCGAAAACAAGTGTGTTGGGCTCGTGAATGGGCTCCATGTGTTTTGCCTTGCCGCCTGTATGTAAAAAAAATGCCCCGTGTTTGTGTGCGCGCGCAAATTGAACTTTTTGTTACTCGAAGCCCACTAGCCCAGAGTGGAAGCTACGGACGCTAGCGACCAAAACCTCAGGATATAATCCCGTCTTACGGCTCATTTTAATTCGAGAAAACACTCGCAGACCCGCACAATGTGCAGCCCGCGTAACCGACATGAAGTCCTCAATTAGATCGATCCTCAACTAGACCGATCAAACCTGTAAGGGGTGCGGTCGGTGTCCCGAAGGAGAGCATGATCTATGGTTGGTTGAAGTACTGAGAGGCGGCACACGTTTGAGTGACCGGTGTGCGGTTGTGACAAGAGTGTCCTCTTGGCGAGTGATCGGTGCAGTGTTGCGTGCGAGGGATGGATGACACCAGTGGAACGGCATGGCAGCTCGTGGTCTCGTAGGAGGTTGTTTGAAGTGTCGGTGGATGGCGACCTGACGTGTTTGTCTTCCGAGTGCTCCTTAACAGCAGACTACCACAGGGTCGGTCCAACGCACCGTAGAGTCGGTCCAACGCACCGTAGGGTCGGTCCAACGCACCGTAGGGTGGGTCCAACGCACCGTAGGGTGGGTCTAACGCACCGTAGGGTCGGTCCAACGCACCGTAGGGTGGGTCCAACGCACCGTAGGGTCGGTCCAACGCACCGTAGGGTAAGTAGGCCTTCGATTTTGTTCGCGTCGCACAGCAAATTGAACCTCGTGCCTGAGTGTTCCGCCCAAGCTGTAGCACGCGCGACGAGCTGCGACGAAGCTGAGTGTGGCGATGCAAGACTGACGTATTGTCCGCCTTATTACCAGGCTTAATTGAAGGCTGTTTCACGAGCAGGTGTGCGGCCGAAAAGGGCGTTGTTTAAAAAAATAGACAGTCCTACCTCGTTTCAGATCTCTCCTGCGTCCACGCTGGATTTTACGATTAGTACCGAGTTCACAGAACGTGCGTTGGAGCACACATCGCGGGAGCACACATCTCGAGGAAGTCGTGAGTCAGGGGGCAGAAGGGCAGGAAGAAAAGGGGGACGAGCGATGTCTGAAGTATTGTTTGTGAAGCAAGTGGAGAGTGAACGGCGGCGGCGAGTGCAAGCGTGGTATGTGTCTCCGGATGAGGAGTGGAGTGTGTCAAGTTACGCGCGAGAGCGGTTTTTGAATGGTTGTCGAGTGGGAGCTGCATCGGCGATTACGATTGGTGCGTGTGGAATGTATGAGAAGGACATCAGTTGGGGTTACCGGTGTGCGTGGACATACACGGTGTGGTGTGGTTTCTTATTGTGGGCATTGTTGGGTGTGTTGGACGGGATTTTGTCGCTGAAGAAATCGGGCATTGGCGCCACTTCGGCCAAGGTCCACGCTGTGTGCATGTTGGCGTTGTTGGTGCTGGCCACTTTATCCCTGGGTGGCTACACAGAAGCGCGAACGGATGCTGTATTCACTACCGTTTTCGCTGGAGGTCTACTCTTCAACGCTCTTCTCGTCCAAATTTACTTCCGCTCCTTCAGCGGACTTTACGCTCCAATCTGGCCCAGACCTTCCGCCCCCACTGTCCTTCCTATCTTCGCAACCAACCTACTAGCTGCTGCCGTCTACTGCGCTTGCGTCGGCATGCAGTTCCAACCACCCAACCTTACTATACTCCGACTACTTAACGCCTTCCGAATCGGCGCCTGGGTCCTCTGGCTTCTCGCCGCGTGGGCATACTTCAATGTCATCGCACTTACCTGCGACCCCAGACTTAGACACGACCCAAGAATATACAAACCTCTCGAAAAAACACCCCTCACCAAACGACTTGGCACACCCAACCTCGTCCGATAACACACAGAGACCCAAACATCTTAACACACTTACTGGACGTGCTCGCACTTACTGGACGTTCTCGCACTTACTGGACGTGCTCGCACTTACTGGACGTGCTCGCACTTACTGGACGTGCTCGCACTTACTGGACGTTCTCACACTTACTGGACGTGCTCTGCAGACAGACAGATAGACGTTCACAGATCAAAAATGATCGTTCTACGGTAGTTAGAAAACCATCCGTAAATATTTAGTTTCATAGGCACAAATATTTTATAAAGTACAGTCAGACTCCACAATCCCCCAAGAGAAAATCTCCCAAGAGAAAATCTCCCAAGAGAAAATCTCCCAAGAGAAAATCTCCCACGGCCAGAAAACACGGCCAGACGAGCTAGCTAACAGATAGCCAACGAAAACTAGGTTACGGAAACCAATAAAGCAGACCAGTCAAAAACCAGCACCTGGTCGCCGCAGAATCATTAGCTCGATTTATATTTGTTCAGTCCCACAACCATCGGCCTTGGGTCCCCACAGCATGGTGGATTTGGTAGTGATTCCATTCTGATCTAGTGTCTGGCTGCGTTGCAAGGGTTGGTCGGGCAGAGGTGCAACAATTCCATACGACTCCAAATGCAGACAGTGTCCTGCTGCGGATCGCTGCCATGGGAAGCCTCCCTCAACCACGACCGCGGCCAGGGACCTCAGACTCGGGTCGGCGTCGACATTGTCATGAGCGATTTCGTCATGAGCGATTTCGTCATGAGCGATTTCGTCATGAGCGATTTCGTCATGGTCTGTAACTCTGGTTCCAACAATCAACAGTGGATTTTCAGCCACCTCTTCCCTACTGAGTGTGATCAAGTGGTCCAATAGCCTGAGTGCCGCCTCCAGATTGGCCAGACCCGTATGTTTATCGCACATGCACAACAGTCTACCCAGACCTCGCACACGAATAGCCAACTCCACAAACTCCTCGCCCTTCCGCCATCGTTGCACTAAAGCCCCTGCCTCAGCGTTCCGGACCAGTTGCGCCGCCGTAGCCCGACGTCGCTCTTCAGCCACCTTCTCCAGTTCCACCTGCCGTGCCTTCTCGAGCTCCTTCTCCTTCTGTTTTTCCTCCAACTCCTGCTGCTGTCGCCGCCTGAAAAATCCGCCAGTATGTGTAAACTTCTCCCCAAGAGCGAGTAATATGTGTGTAACAGTGTGTTCTGTACCGCTCTCTATCGGCTTGTAGAGCTTGACGATATTCTCTCTGTTGTTGTTCCCTTAGAAGTCTATTTTGTTGGATTGTATCGGCGTGTGTGCGGAGTTCCTGCCGCACAGGTTCCATAAGGTTGTTGAGGTAGACGGCGAGGCGGCTGAGATCGGTGCGCAGATTGTCTAGGGGGGTGTTGGTGGTCAGGGCAAGGAGGAAGCCTCGCAGGATGGCGTGACGGGGCAGGAGGGTAGGGTCTAGATTGTGCGGTGTGCGGATTTCTGGCGTAAAAGAGTGCTGTAGAATCTTCACAAACAATTCTTGCTGCGTCTCGGCGTCCAGCGGTAGACGATTGGCGGCGGTCGTGTACCGTCTTCGTCCTCCGCGGCTCTGCACCATGTTACCACCGCCCATGGTATTACTCGTGCCGGAGTGCGTCATGTTACCGCCGCCGCCCAAGTGCAGACTAGAAACGTCAAACTCGTAAGGCAACAGGCCGACGAAGGACAGCAGCTCGCCACCAGTCGTCGCCGGACGCAGGTCCACGTCCGCCGTCAGGTCCGCCATCGGTGACTGCGCAACGTGCACCAGGAAACGCGGCCTCAACGTCTCTGCCAACGCACACACGTGTGCGACAGCCGAACCCGCCCGTGAACCGTGCACCAACACGACCAACACTGGCAAATCGCGCTCCCGCGCCGCTGTCATCGAACCCGCCAGCTCCAGCCCACTCTCAAACGCCACGCTCAATTCTCGCACCAGGTCACGACCCGGTGCTGAGAAAATCAACGACCGCACGTACTCAACCAAACTCTCCAAACACAACCGCAACAAATTCAACCACCAACGCTCCGTTCCCGCCCCGGGCAACCCCACTCCCGGCAACCCCAACCCCCCCTGCGCGCCACACACATTCCTGCCACACACATTCCTCGCCGGCCGCCGCTGCCTCAAACCCGGCACCTCCTCATCGTGAGAACCCGCCGCGCCCACCCCTTGGCCGATGGAGTAGTCCGACGCGTCGCCGTCCGAGTCCAAACCCTCTGCCGGGACTCGACCCCCCGACGACCCGCTAGCGTCCGAGTCCTGCTCGTCGGGGGTCTGCCCGCCATCCCGGTGCTGGTCATCACGAACCTGATCCTCGTCATCCAGATCCGAACCCTCAGCACCCGGATTCTCATCCTCGTCGCCCGGGGTCGCCTCTTCCGGACCCGCGTCGCCAGCTCTTTTCGTTCCAGTTCCAAACTCGTCTACAAAGTCGTCTACAAATGCGTCTCGCTCACTTCCCAGCTCTGTATAATCGTGAGGATTTAATCTGGCTCCATCTAGTCTGTCTCCATCAAGCGTGGCCTCATGCCGGCCGCGGTCCTGCACCCGATCTGGCACATCCCCACGTGCCTGACCAGTGGCGTTTCGGAGTTGCCTCTGCAAACCTTGATCGTCCTGACTGTCCTGTTTAGGCGACACGCGCGGCCCGTTGATGCAGTCTGGAGTCCGCGGTAAAGGCGCGTTGTCATCGTCCATTTTTTTTATGGCCAGACGACCCATGGAGGGAGCGAGAGGAGCCGTGGTGATAGACGTCCTAGAGGAGGCGAATGACAACAAGCTACTACAGCTGGAACAACGGGTGAATGAATTGAAAGGCGTCACGGGGATCTTGAAAGACGAGATTGATGAAGGCAACTCAACCCTCGGTAATCTGGTAGGTGATTGACTCCTCACAATAGCGACATGCTCTTTAGACAACGGAAATGTATAATGCAGCCTCCAAGGTGAAACAGACTCTTAAGCGCATGGCCTTCCTAGGATCTTATAGGGTATGTTCTACCCCACGCTACGTTCTATCGCACGCTACGTTCCATACGCTCTTCTTCCCTGCACCCTATCCTATGGCCGGTTTCCCACGTTATTCTGTCCCCTTCCTATCCCTCCCCTTCCTATCCCTCCCCTTCCTATCCCTCCCCTTCCTATCCCTCCCCTTCCTATCCCTCCCCTTCCTATCCCCTCGAGAAGTGAAAAGACGGCTGGACTGTCATTGTAGACCACTGGACATCTTTGGCTGCTGGCTGGCTTTATTGGAGTAGTTCTGTTCTTCCTGTATTTGGTTTTGTGGACAGGTTCACTTTTTCGATTTTGAGTGAGTCCTAAGCCTATTACGATTCTAAGCAATCAACTGAATTGTACCCAGCTCCAAATGGAGATAAGAACGGATGCAAATAAAATGGACGCGGATAAGAGAAGTATTGAGTCCGATGAGTATATCTATGGATGAGATTGATGTGTCAAAAAAAGCGCAAAAGATCCGCACTCAAGGCTGGTACGTAAAGCGGGGTAGAATTTCAATTCCATGATAATCACCCCTATCGATGATCACTCTCTTTTGTGACTGAGGGGATCTCCTTGGGTACCAGGTGATGGAATTCCAGTGTTGTGGCTCTGGCAGTTTGGAGAAGGCCTTTTGGATGAGTGATACTCGGGAGCCAGCTGCGCTATTGGATCCAGGTGTGCTGGTGGAGGGTGAGGGGTTGCCCTGGAGAGATTGGAGGAGTGCTGCTGTTTTGGAATATCTTTCCTTCTTCTGTCTATTGGGTACCTGAGCGGAGAGCGCCGTTGGAGCTTTAGCAGACGAGGAAATGGGAGTCTTGGCGGTGTCATGAAGGTCAGTAGTACCTTGAACTCTAGTTCCATCAGCTGCTGCTGTTGTCTGGGCAGCTGCCTTGCCAGCAGCTGCGCCTAGACCTTTGGATTTGGAAGCGCGTGTAATAATGGCTTTGACTTCTCCATTCGGGCCTTTCTGAACGACGCGTTGGTCGGGCAATGTGGGGAGTCCGCCGGTGAGGTCGAGGGCCTTGCCTTGGCCCCCATGTGCCTGTTTGGACCAATACGTGACCGGCACTTTTTCAAAGCTCTGGCGCATGACAGTTCGTTCTTCTCCAGGAATTGTAACGACTTGTGGAGGTGGTTGGTATATCTCCTGACGAGGCGGATCACGTACAATTGTCTGTTTCATGACCGGGCGGTTTTCGTAATGAACGTGTGGGGTCCGCACGACACGTGGTCCATATGGGCAATCCGTCATATTCTGTACAATTTGAGGACCCTGCTCCAGGTGTGCGTGTACATGGCAGTAATCTGAACTATGGTGATGCCGTGCGTACTCACAACCAGCAATCACACAACTTGCTGTCGCCGCGCCACATAGACAGGAATACACCGCACCCTTCAGTTGCGTAAACGCGCCTGCCACATTCAGACATCCCAACGCCATAACACTTGCCCATAATCCGTACGCGAACCGCCGGTCTGCCTGCTCCTGCGGACGAGGTTCCTCTGTCACCAATCGCTGTGCCGGCCGGTCTACTTTCCCAGGCTCCATGCAAACGTCAAACAAAATGGGGGGAACAGACCAACAACCCCACAACACGACCAGATGACCCAGATGACAGGACCGCTACATAGGACCCTCCCCCCCCCCTTGACCCCCTGGCAGCTGTTGACTGACCGCCGCTGTCATGGTGTGATCTACTCTTGCATAAATGCAGAAGCGTTTGGGGTGTAAAGAGCTTCCGCAGTGGCCACGATGAGAGCGACATTCTTGAGACTGTCGACCACAACCCGGTTATTGGGGTGAAAGCGGACGGCCTTGCGCAGACTGGCTTGTGCGGCCAAGTAGTCACCTTCTGCGATTTTTCGTCGGGCGAAGAGCAGCCAGTAGTCGACTTGGTGCGGGTTATGGAGGATCAATTTGGCTATTAGGTTGTCGAACTGTCTCGTCTCGCCCAGTCGCAAGAGCACGTCCATGACAGTGATGTCTACCTTCTTGTCCTTCTTGAATTTGTAGCAATTCTTCACCGCCTCGTCCGCAATCACCCTCTTGAGCCGTGACCGCGCTTTCGCCAAGTCCGCACGGAGCGACTCTGAGCTGTTCGCGTCCTTCAGCTTGCTCTCCACGCGACCCTGGACCAAGACGAACAACCCCAACCGGAAGGCGAGACTCTCCATATATAGCTGCAACGCTTCGTCGTCTGATGACTTCCCACAACCGTTCGTCAAAGCCTGGTACGACTCCTCACGCACCAATATCGAACTAGCCTCCGCTTCAGACAGGACTTCGTGCTCCACCAGCTCCGCAATCGTCACCTTGAAGGCCACTTCGCGCTCCAGGGCGCCTCGTCCGCTTATCATTCCGCTCATGCCAACTTAGTATTTTTTAATCGCCGCTGAGAGCTCTGGACCGAAGGTACTGTTTCCTCCACCTGCGCCAGTAACAGACTGAAAGCTTTCGCTGCAGTTGCATGGCTGCGACTTTCCCTCCCTCCGTCCCTGCCTCCTCGTCATGACGTAAGCTCCTTTCCCAATGCCTTCATTTCAGGTAGGGTCGCAGTGAAATTTATGGCATGAAACTACACACTGCGGTATGGGGCTTTTTAGTGTTGATGGTATGTAGTTGTTCCCATGTAATTGCGTTACCTGAGTTGCACACGATTGAGTCGCAGGACATGTTCTCGGATGAGTTTGGGCCGTGCGAGATCCTGTGGAACCTTCCGTTTTATTACGTGAATTTGGACCGCAGTGTGAAGCGGCGCGAGTATATGGAGCGTACATTTCCGCATGCGACGAGGATCCGTGCAGTGGATGGCCGTGATCCTTCAGAGGTGATGAGTGCAATTAACTTTCCTCCGGATGAGCGGGGTCGGGGGTGGAGCCCTGCGGAGTTTGCACACTATACCAAGCGCGTGTTCGGAGCCACGCCAGGTGAGCTGGGTTGTTATGCGAGTCGCTTGGACGCGCTCAAGCAGATGTACGAAGACGGCCACGAGCTAGCACTGGTTGGTGAAGACGACGTGGACCTGAATATGTGCCGTTTCTGGACAAGCGACCTGGCCCGCATTGTGCGGCAGGTCCAGCAAGAAGACGCCGACTGGCACTTGCTGCGCTTGCAGTGGTCCGACAAATATGCGCATATGCAGACCATTCGAGATCTTCACCTTGACGCCGTCGATGACTACCTTGACGCCTTGGTCGAGGCCACCGTCAACTGGGCCCTAAGAGAGACCGTTGGACCCCAACCGCCCGCCGGACGGGACCTACCGAGACCGGACGCAAGGCTGGGCTCTTTTTTGTCCGACGCAAGGCTGGAGTGGGCTATGGACCGCGCGCAGCAGGATGTCAATATGAAGGGCTGGGTCGACACACACCCGGCTGAGCCAGCCGACACGGACGGCAGGATCCACTCCCACCCGAGGGTCCACTCGGACGCGAGAGACCACTCCGACTCCATGGACGGTCGCCGAGGTCGGCTGGACCTGCGGGACGACAGGCAGGTGCGCCGGGCTGTGAAAGAGCGGTGGCTGGGGCGGTACCGCGAGACCGCGGGCGACTGGGTCCTGCCCGCTACTGGTCGCTACGCCCACGGCTACGGGACCGTAATTGCTCTCTGGACGCGGAAGGGCGCTAAGGCGACCATTGACGCTCTGAGTAGCGCGCCCAGCACCAACGTTACAGCCACGGGACGAGGACACGACGGGGAGGGTGCTCCACCACGTGGCGGGCAGGGCCGGTGGAGGTGTACGGGGGAATGTATTGCGGACTACCACTTCGAAGAGGTCAACGCACCACACGCGTATATCCCGCTTCCGCCCTTACTGCAGGTCGCTTTGCTCCCACCTGAGCAGGGCACCGGCATCCGTTCTCGACCTGAGAAGACCTACATAGACGCCCTCGCCGAACTCACCGGTTTAGGTCGCAGCTCCTCCGATCTTAAAACCTATATGCGGCAAACCCGCTTCACGGAGGAGTGGTTCCAACTTATCGAAGAGCACGTGCGCTGCAAACTACAAACCCCCAGGCGACGAGGCACGGCCGCCAACCTACGCGGGCCCTAATGTCGCTGATAGTAAGGCCTGGATTCGAACGCCCGCTTCGGCTTTCAAGCCAAGTCGACCTTCAGCTCGTTCAACTAAACATTGCCATACCCCTGGTTTCAAGGTGAAAGACCTGTGGTCTTCAATGCCAGACCTTTGGTCTTGCGGGTGCGACTTTCAGTCAAAGCCCAACTGGGGGTCTTGAAGTTGATTCTATGTTCAAACCGCTTCTACATTTGAGTGACCGTGCCCGACACGTTCCTGACATGAGCAAGCTGGCGTGCCCTCATGTCGGTTTGGTCGTGTGTGAGCGCGGGCAGATTATTTTTTGCCCTGATGAACCGCCAGTGGGATGGGTCGGTTTTTGTTCCGGCATTGCGCGAGAGGCGGTTGCAAGGTCAGAAGTTGGTTGTGGTACTTGAGGATGCCTGTCTGGAAGTGGTGCATGTGGGCGAAGGCCGTCACGAAGTGCTATCGGGAACTAAGGCCGGCCATCGTCGGCTGCTACGTCGCGCAGGCCGGGCGGAATCGCGCGACTTGCGTCCTGACATCGTCTACCAGTGCCTTTGTGCACTCTTGGAGTCACCGATCAACCGAAGCGGCGGTCTGCTGCTTTACATACACACCCAAAACGGACTCATGATTGAAGTCAACCCCCAACTGCGCTGCCCCCGCACGTACACCGAGTTTGAAAGCCTCTTCGGTACCCTTCTTGTCAAACGCAATGTGCGCGCTCGTGGCGCTAAAGTCACGCTGCTCCAGATCGTCAAAAACGACCTTTCCCAAATCCTCCCCCCCGGCTGCCGCAAAATCGGACTCGAGGTCCACGGACGACACGTAGACCTCAACCAGTACATACGAGACGTCGCAGCTGCACCCAGGATCGCAACTGTACCGAGGGTCACAACCGCACCCCGGGTTGCCCAAGATAAAGGCCCAGCACAGGACATCAAGTCTGAACCATCCCGTGATGGGAATTTGGACGCAGACGCTGGACGGGACGCAGACGCTGGACGGGATGCAGACGCTGGACGGGATGCAGACGCTGGACGGGATGCAGACGCTGGACGGGATGCAGACGCTGGACGGGACGCAGACGCTGGACGGGACGCAGACGCTAGACGGGACACACGCGCGGCAGTTAGGCACCCCTACGCCGTCGTCAGCGATTTCAGTGTCCAGCAAGACCTGCAACGCGAGAATAAAAATGTTTGCCAACCTATAGTCGTCTTCATTGGCGCAGTCGCGCATGGCAGCCCCATCGCAAGGGAACGGAACGAGTTCGTGGAAGATGAACTCTGCATCAGCAAGTACCACCTCAGCGCTGCCGAATGCTGCCACCGGATCTGCCACGCCGTCGAACAAGTTTGGCTCTAGGGTAATTCCTTTTTCCTCAGCCGAGTGCTAAGGTTGCCTTTTCGGCTGAGAGTCCGTACGTGCGGCTGAGAGTCCGTACGTGCGGCTGAGAGTCCGTACGTGCGGCTGAGAGTCCTTGCGTGCGGCTGAGAGTCCGTGCGTGCGGCTGAGAGTCCGTGCGTGCGGCTGAGAGTCCGTGCGTGCGCGTTTGGCTGAGTATGTTCGGCTAGTGTGTTGTGGAAGCTGCCAGAAGGTCTGGCCCAGCGCGGCCGCCCTGCGCGGCCTGTGCAGTCATCTGTTGTGTACAGGCAGTGGTCTGTTGTGACCCGGAGAGGTCTACTGTGCGGCTAATAAAAATAGACGAGCGCATGGCGGGAATGTCGCAAGACGTCGTCAGGCGGGAGGCGGCCCTGCAGGGGGTCGCGGCGGCGACGTACGGCGCAAGTCGGTTCCTGGTGGGGATGTGTTTGACCTGCAATTTGTCGTTGAACGTGATGGTGGGTGCGCTGCATATATTGCACATGTCGTGTGAACATGTGGACATCGTCAAGAGTGAGCGGAAACTGTTAGCGACCGCTTGCGTTTCGTTGTCATGGAAGCAGTGGGAGGACCGCGAGGGTGTGCAGAATAACCAGAAGCTGCGCGAACTCTGCAAGGCCTATTATCTCCTGAACGCGCACTATAGTGACTGGCGACGACCCAGTCGAGGACCACCCGACCGAGGTGCTTCTGAAACCGAACAGCGCCGCGGGGAAGCGGACCTCGAGTGCCACTTGCAGGACCTCGCCACCACATGGCTAGCCGTCGATGAAGGACAGGAAATGGACCGACTCAGGGAACGGCTTAAGACCTACGAATTACTGGTACTGCGCTCTGTCTACTTCTGTATTGAAACGCCAGACTACATCATTCCCATGATTGCCAAAACACTGCGTACGCTCGTACCCGGCATCGCTAGCGACCCGTACCAGTACGACGGACTCTACCAATGCGCACTCGGCATCTTCATGGACTACCTGCGCTGGCCCAACTACCTCCACTACGATTTCAAACACCTCTGCACTGCCATCGCCTTCAAGGCCGCCGTCACCATGCACGTCTCACTCTGCAACCATGTCGACCAACTCTCCGACGCTCAACTCACTCTCGTCAACCACGCACAAGTCAGAGAAATACTCCAAGACATACGCACAACCTACGGGTGGGCCGAAGCTGCCGAAGCACAAACTGTCCACACCAGCGGAATCTGCACATGATCACACACACACGTGTGTGCCCCCACGTACTATGGTGTGGCACGTGCTGTGATTTTTGTCTTAAAGTGAGTCGTCGTCACTGCGGCAGTGGCGGCGGCGTCGACGCTCGGTTACGTCGCCGCGCACACACTCGACAACAGAGGGGGAATAAAATTAGTATGGGGAGCCGCAGGGTCGGTTCGAAAAGCGGCAAGACGCACAAGTACGCGCGCACGCACCAGAACCTGAAGAAGCGGAAGCCGGATCCAGACCAGATCGTGAGTCACGTCGTGACCAACTGGAGGCCGGAGTTGGACGAGGAGCTACCGGCAGGTGGTGCCTTTTATTGCCCGGCCTGCGCGCGTCATTTCTTGGACGCGAAGGTCTTGGAGACGCACTATAAATCGAAGCCTCACAAGCGCGCTCTCAAGCGGGCCAAGGAGGATCTCGCGCAGCCCTACACCATTAAGGATGCAACTTTTTATGCCGGCAAATCTTTTGAATGAATGTCCCCACAATGGTTGTTGGTCGGTGCCCTCTTGATTCTTTCCAGTAGGCAGTAGCACTAGCGCGGCGTGTGCTCGTCGGAAGCGGAGCGCGGGGGAAGCAGGACGCAGCGCTAATGGCGCGAAAAGTGTGTGCACACGCGTGTGCGCGATCGGCTGAATTTGTTTGGAGCGAGTTTTGTGTTGTTTAGTTGCGAGTTACTTGTATGAAGGCGTGATAGGTTTGGTTTTGTTGTACATGGCGGTGTTTCCGGTGTGCATGATATTGACGCTGTTGAAGTTGCAGCAAGAGTTATCGACGGTGACATTGTTGGAGTACTTTGTTTGCGGGTGCACGTTGTCAGTGGCTACGGCGTCGGTGTTGGAGACGGTGGCTCAAGTGCAGACGGCTCCGGTGTTGTCGTGTCAGGGTGCGAGTTGGCAGTGCAACGTATTGTTTGCAGTGGCGTTGACGATCTCAGTGTCGTTGGTGGAGGAGTTTGCCAAGTTCCTACCGGTAATGTTTGTGCGGACGAGCGAAGATCACCTACCGGCACGGCGAGGACGTTGGCTGTTTCGGGCACTGGAAAGCCCTCGCGCGATTGTGCTCGCCGGCTGCGCCTCGGCCGGTGGCTTCGCAACAGTCGAGAACGTCAAGTACGTCTTCGGTGGCGAAGACGTCCAGGAAGACTTCGACACCTCGCTCGCCCGTGCCGTCCTCGCCATTCCTTTCCACATCGCCTGTACCGCCCTTGTCACTGCCGCCTGGGCCGACGAACTCTTCTACACCCCCACCGCACTCTGTTGCCCCACGCCCCCACGACCCGGAGCCTGGCAACTCATCAGAAACAACTTGCAAAGACTAGTCAGCAAACCTCAGCCACCCGCCCTCCCTGCCAACCCCTGGCCCGTCTGGTCCAGCATCGACTCACAGGCTCCTCTGGGCAGATCCGACATGGGCAGGTCAGACCTGGGGAACAGACCCGACCTGAGCAGGTCAGATCTGGGCAGACCGATGCTGGACGGCAGATCCGACCTCGGTAGACCGGACCTCGGTAGACCGGACCTCGGTAGACCCGACCTCGGTAGACCGGACTTAGGGAGCAGAGGTGAGTACTGCCCGCTCGGATGCGATGCCGGAGATTACCGCCGTGGCGACTACCTCAGGCTCGACTACAACACCTCCTCGCCCGCGGCTGGCCGGGTGGACTGTGCCACCAGTCCTCTCCTGGACCAGGGAGCAGGCCTCCGGAAACAGCGCGGACTCCGTGAACTGGTCCTCAGGCTGTTTTGGCTACCCGTCGTCTGCCACTCTTCCTACGACCTGGCCATCTTCTTCGCCGCCCAGATCATGCACCGCATGAGTGACCAGGAGGGCGACGGCGGCATCCAGGGTTTCCTGCTGCTCCTCTGCACCGCGATCTTCGCCGCTGCCTACCTCGTCGCCGTCGGCACCTTCCTGATTCGCTGGAACAGCCTCGGCTCTTCTCAGGCCACCTCCTTGCCACGACTACACAGGTACCTTGATAACTCTTTGTTATAACACGAAGCAGCGCCCCGGCGCTGTTTTCACGTCGGGTCTTAACGTCGTGGCCGGCCAGTTCAAGACCGGACAAGCCCCGGTTCAAGACCAGGCGGGCGCTACCTCGGGGTCGCGGGCGCGCGCAACGACTGGGTTGAAGACCACCATGTCCAAAGGAATGTTTCTGTCGACAAAGTACTTCTTCACGAGGGCTGCGATTGCCAGAAGGCACACGCCGGTGCAGAAGCCAATCGAGAAAGCAGAGATACGCGCTGTGTTGGATGCAGTGCTGATGGCGATTGTGCTGGACTCGGTGACGTCCGACGCTCGCGGGAACGGAAGGACGGTCGAAAAGGCGGAGGCGACGGCAGAGGCCGGGGCGACGGGAGATGCGGCGGCGAGGCGAGCAACGGCGGGTGGGCACAGAGTCTGTTCCGTCTGAGAGATGAGGTCTTCAGCAAACCACTCAGCGAACGTTCCGGTGTCCAGCCAGTCCTGGTCCACGTCGTCTGGAGCAAAGTGGTCCCACCCCCGTACATGGTCGGAATAGTTGGTTGCTGCACGGAATATCACTTGCCACGCGGGCAGACTTTTCGCGGGCGCGATGACCACGGTTGTCGCTCGGTGCCGAGACAGTAGTGCGAGATGAGCGGCGCACTGGGTTTGGTCGGATTGCAGGTTGAGTGGCGCGTGTGTGACAAACAAGACGTAATTGTGCGGTGTATTGCTCCGTTGGAACTGCCGCAATATTGATTTTGGGACATGCCCAAACACGGGGCAAGAGGGGGCTGCATTCGGTTCTGAGTTGAGTGCAAGTCTCGATCCAGCCGCCATGAACGGTGGCTGCAAGAAGCCGGGTTCAATGAGATTGAAACGGGGCTGTCTTCCTGATTCCGGTCTCCCCTGCTCCTGTTTCTCTGGCCAAGCCTCTGCGCTCCCGTACGTTGGAACTGTCTCGGTGGAGACAATATACTCAGCGGGGGCGGTGGCTGCATGCTCGACAAGGGCTGTGGTCGTCTGCAGGTCAAAGCCGTGGTTTGCGGACGCCTCGAAGAAGTCGAGACCGAGGTATAGTTTGCGGCCCGGCGCGATGTGACTCGACAGTTCTGTAGCCAATAACGTGAACCACGGAGGTCTCGCAGCAAACCAGGACACACTCGCGTCAATCGCGACCCACAAGTTGACAGTTGCAACGTCTGCGCAGCGACTCCACTCCATGCACCTTTAAAAGGAAATAGTCCTGTGCAACAATGCGCAGACCACCATCGGGCAGACCACCATCGGACAGACCATCAAATAGTCCTTAGGAAGTAAGCAGAAGTAACATAGAGCCGCGACGTGAATGAGTAGGTTCTGAACGGCGGACTTATTTGTTCCCGCACGGTTGGTTCGGATCGCCCACGTTGCACCCTTTTTGCCGTGGCACTGGCCTAAGAGCAAGTATGTTAGCTTAAAGCAGCGTGTCTGTGTAATTGAGGCCGCCATGCGGCTGCAACACGTTCACTCGCTGGCGTGGGGTGTTTTAAAATCTTTTACATGTCTACGAAGCGTCTGGACACTTTGCGGGAGATTGAGCACTCGATTCAGGAGTTGTGGAACGCGTCGCGACCGTATGAGACGGAGGCGGGAGATCTGTCGAAGAAGGATGAGCATTTCTTCATCACATTTCCCTACCCTTATATGAATGGTAGGTTGCATTTAGGCCACGCTTTTTCCTTGACGAAGTGCGAGTTCACGGCTCGCTTTCAACGTCTGAATGGGAAGCATGTATTGTGGCCGTTTGCGTTCCATTGCACGGGCATGCCCATAGCAGCTAGCGCGGACAAGATTCGGAACGAGCTTGCGGACCAGGCTTCGGGCCACGTAGTGGAGATGGAGCCCGATGCTGCGGATGAGACAGCGGCTGTGGCCAAATATGCGAGTCGTAGGTCAAAGGCGGTAGCGAAGACAGGTACTGGCAAAACTCAGTCAGAGATTTTGATTCAGATCGGCATTCCGGCAGAGGAGGTGCCGCGGTTCGCAGATCCGAAATACTGGTGTAAGTACTTCCCGCCGCTGGGCCAGCGTGACCTGAAGTTGTTCGGCATCGGGGTGGACTGGCGTCGTTCGTTCATCACGACCGACATAAACCCCTACTATGACCGGTTCATCCAATGGCAGTTCAATTTGCTTAAGGAGCGGAACTATCTCAAATTCGGTTTGCGTCCAGCCGTGTTCTCACGTGTTGAGGAGCAGCCTTGTACGGACCACGACCGCGCAGTTGGAGAGGGCGTGAACCCGGCGTCCATGCACGTCATTGCGCTGCCCGTAATCGAGGTGCCTGCGCAGTTCCAGAAAGTGTGTGCAAACAAAGACACATTCTTACTTGCCTACATTAACGAGCAGGGCGCGGAACTCATTGCAAAGCCCCACTTTTTCCTCAGTCCGGAAGACGAGTTCGGCTTTTACTACGCCTTCGACGAGGCGTTGCAGGCTGATGACATCTGCTCTTCAGAGCAAAACTCCTTTATAGCCAAGAGAGAGGTGGCCAAAGACCAACTGGCCGCTGAGAAACTGAAGGTCTACATCTGCCCGCCTCGCTGCGCCGAAAACCTTGTATTCCAAGGTCGACTCCCTGCTGACACCGTCAAATGCGCCACTGCCAGCTCCGGCGAAAACAAGGTCCACGTTCCGCACCTGCTCGCCTCCTGCACCGGCAAGGACCTCCTGGGACTGGAAACCAGGACCTACGATGGCTGCTCGACCCCGATGCTTACCGGCAAGGCGGTTGACAAAATCGACAAGGGCGTCAAAGTGTCCGTGAGCGGAGTTCCCTCCAAGACGGGCGACGCCGTCAAGACGGGCGACGAAGAAAGGAGGACCAAGCAGCTAGCGCAGCTAATGAAGAGTGGTCAGTGCTTCCAGTTTTATGAGCCGGAGAAGCGCGTGGTATCTCGCTCTGGTGCGGATTGTGTAGTGGCTCTATGTAACCAATGGTATTCAGACTTCGGTAATCCGGATTGGAAGGCTTTGGTACATGGGCATGTAGCGAATGGTGCGAGTTTTGACGGGCACGGGGCGAGTCCTGCGTATCTGCGGACGATCAGTTGGTTGGAAGGTTGGGCATGTTCGCGGAACTACGGACTTGGAACGTTCTTGCCGTGGGAGGCTGCGCGTGGAAACAAGATTGTGATTGAGTCGTTGTCGGACTCAACGATTTATTTTGCATATTATACTATCGCCCACTTCTTGCAGGGGGACCTGTACGGCGAGACGCCAGGTCTGTTGGGTGTCCGGCCAGAGGAGTTGAGTCGGGAGGTCTTTGATTACGTCTACTGCCAGACAGACAAGCTACCCACAGAGACCACCATCTCAGCAGAAAGTCTGGTGAAGATGCGCACGGCCTTCGAATACTGGTACCCCATGTCCCTTCGGTGCTCGGGCAAGGATCTGCTCACCAACCATCTCACCATGTCCCTCTTCCATCACGCCGCCATCTGGCCCAATCGGCCAGACCTCTGGCCTAGAAGCTTCTTCATCAACGGCCACATTTTACTCAACTCTGAAAAGATGTCGAAACAAAGTGGAAACTTCCTCACCCTCACCGACTGCATGGAGAAGTTCTCCACCGATGGCACACGCGTCGCCCTCGCAGACGCAGGCGACTCCGCCGATGATGCCAATTTCGAGGCCGCTAACGCTGTTTCCGCTCTCATGAAGCTTTACCTCCTCGTCGGTTCTGTCGAGGAATACATTGTGTGGAAAAAGGCCGCTGTCTCGAGCCCGGCCCCGGGCGACCAAAGCTTCCGGGAGGGTGAGAAGAACGAGTTAGACCTCATGTTTGTGTGCGAGTTGGAATCGCTCGCAGCACAGGCGCATGTGGCGTATAGTGTCATGAGCATGCGCGATGCCAATAAGTTCGCCTTCTACGAGCAGCTATCTCTTCGAGACTGGTACCGCCAGGCACTCGATACGGAGCCGATGCACGCCGAGTCGTTTGAGCGCTGGATTAAGGTGACTGCGCTCACACTGTCACCGATCGCACCGCATATCTGCGAACACATCTGGTCCAACCTGCTGGGACAACCGCAGTTGATCGTGAAGGAGGCATGGCCGGTGCCGACAATTCCACGCGCGGAGGCGGCTGTGCTGCATCTCAAGTTCGCGCTTTTGAACGGGTTTGCGGAAGACGTCCGCAAAACGGTCGAGAAATCGAACAGCAAGAAACAGTCCACAGCCAAGGCCATCATCGGCTACGTCGCTCGAAGCTACCCCCAGGACAAACTCGCTGTCCTCCAGGCCCTAGCCACTGTACCCAAGGATGACCAAGGCATCCCGCTCGAGCCGAAAGGTTTCCTCGCGCAAGTCAAAAGCGATCCTGCCGTGCAACAAATCTGCGCAGAAAATCGCAAGGCACTACCCGGACTCATGGCCTTCGCCTCCCACTGTGTCCGACAAGCCGGCGCACACGGACTACTCGCCTATGAAACCACCCCGCCCTTTGACGAACTCGAATTCTTCCGACGACACTCCCCTTACCTCATCCGCAGCATCGGACTGCCCCTACAATTCAAAGACAGCCAGGAACAAACCACCGTCCCCAAAACGGGCCCCGCTACCCCAGGCGCACCCAACTTCGAAATCGAATTCTGAACACACTGCCATGTTCTGAACACACTGGTTTGTCAGCTCGCGAACATTTTCTCACAACCATTTCCTTTGACAAAAACGCCGACCTAAGTCTGCCGCAAAATGACAAACATTCTGAAAGCCTGTATCTATCCATTCTGGCCCAAACAGTGAAGCCACAAGACATCACTGGTCCTTCTTGTTCTCCACAGCGGCCGCTTCTTCTTTCTTGCCTTCTTCACCGGTCAGCTGGCTGAAAGGCGAGGGGACTGTTATCTGTGGGAAGAGTTTTTTGGAGTAAGCGCGGCAGAGGGCCATGCAAATAAAGTAGAAGCAGCTCATGGACACTTCTCCCGGGTTGGCGTTCTCCAAGCCCGACTTGGCGAAGCTGCTCAGCGGCCAAAAGAATTCAAACGGCAACGTACACAACACTTGGTTCCGGAAATGCTTCATTACGTAGGGCAGAAGCATCACGTTCAATATCGTCGGAACCAACTGAGCCGGCGCCATTGCCTTCGTAAGATCCGTGGTCTGGTTTTGAATCTGCGCCTTCAATGCTCTAATCGCACTCTCACTAAAACAGACGACTCTGTGAAATGGCACACGACGATGGGTATACGATGGTGTGCACGCACGACGCCGATGTGCACTAGACAGCAAGGTATGTACGGTGTAACCTACTTAGGTTTTTCTTGAGCAAGGAAGTCGTCCAACTTAGCCTGGTTCTTTTTTAATGACTCATCCAGCTCCTTTATATGCGGCCTTCGGGCACCCAGGCAGTAAGCCAGTCCTTCCGTGCATGCTGATATGGCCAAACAGCCGACAACCACTCTAACGAAATCCGACATGGCCACTTAAAATTTGAAAACAAACTACCCTGAATCTAAATAAACTTTCAGCCGCCAACTTTCACGCGACAGACCCGGATCCTATACGCGCCTCCACCTTCCTGGCCTGCTAGTCTGGCTAACCCCAGCTTCCCAGACAGACACCCCGGCATGTCCGACTCACCAAGACGGCCCACCGAAACGGCTCCTGCATTTCGAAACGGCTCCTGCAATTCGAACCCAACGTTAACTCATACGTGGTGCTTCAGGCTGGACTGCTGCGACGGGACTGACTCAAAGAGTGACGCAGACTTGTTAGATGGAGGCTGCTGGCTAGTTGGATTGCTAGGTAGGTTCGTTTGAGCGGGGTACACAGGGTCCCTCTTTGAGTGCTTTCGAGCGGGTCTGTTCGTAGCTTTTGGTGACGTCAGTTCGGGTAACGGCCTTGCTGAGTGCCACGCGTTCTGCTTCGTCCAGTTCAGCGTGTGGTTCGACAGAAAAGTGCGCTCGCGGGTGCTTCTTGGCAATGGCTTCCGCGTAGGCGACATGACCGTTTGGGTGTGCCCTGTCCGGACTTTTGCGCCAAAGCCGTTCGCCGAGTCGGCCTAGAGCTTCGGAAGAGAACCGTTGTCTCCAGCGGGAGGCGCGACCTGACGGAAACTCACCTTCCCGCTGCGCCTCGACCAGAATGATGGGCTCTTCTTCTGAACGGTCTGTGGCTGGACCCGGTGTGTAGCCGATGTCTGCCTTACTGGGCACCGCAACCGGCGATTTGACTGGCCGACTGACCCCAATTTTTGTCCCGCGATACTCTCCCATCAACTCCGGCTCTTCGCTCTCATGCACGTGCGGCTCACGAATCGGTTCCGCACGAAGCCCGTCCATCGACTCTGGATGCAGCATCGTCTCCACTGTCATTTCCTCCAACTGCGACGGACGCCTCTGAAGCTGCTGACGACTCGCCTGTCCAACACGACTCGCCAGCCGCCGCGGTAGACACCAACCTCCCCAATTGTTCAACATGCCACGTGCTTGGTCCAGCGTCCGTGCGCGTCTAGCCAACTGTTCCTGAAGAGCGGTGGAGTATTTAGAATGTGGCGGATCCGGATTGCTATTGGCAACGGCACCGTTTGTCGGGCCCTGTGGGGGTTTGCTTCCGTGGCTCCCAGCCTCACGAGGAACGGTCTCATGAGCATTGCCTTCATGAATTTCCGTCTCCTCAGGAGGAACGTCGTGTCCTGCGGCCGCGATGACTTGTTCAGTTTTTGTGGTTACCGACTTCATGGGCATGCCGGTGGCAACTTCCTGACCAGACTTGGCCCGCGTGGAACGGGCTGCCTTCACTTTTGCGGTCGTCGTAATCCCTTGGCCACTCTCGGCTTCCATTTGGCGAGGTCTACGGGTCCTCGTCCGGAACTCGGTGTCTGAGCAGTCGCTTATTAACACAGAGACCTGCCCTCGACTGGAGATATCATTTGATTGTAGGTCTGTGGACATATGCACTTCATCCAGTGAGCTCGACTTGTCGTCCAGCACCCCGTCGTTCTCAATGGCGCGGGACCAGCGGCAGACCGCTCGGAAGGGTAGCGTCAGAATCGATTCGAGCATTAGAAACGTTCGGCTTTGCAGGACCTGCTTCCCGCAACCGTTCTGTTTGAACACCTGAGCTGCTTCAAACGCAACGTTTACCCCCGCGCACACCACAGCCAACAGGAAGGTAAATGGCACCAGGAAGAAAGCGGCTCCTTTCGCAATTGCCCAATACCAGGGCCGACCGTCTTCCGGACTGTCAGACACAGTCTCAAAGGAGATCTCATCTCCGCTTCTCTCTGCAACTTCGCGCCCAACATCTGGCCTCCTGAAGTGCCGAGCAGCCGTCAATCGGTACGTCATGTTGGGAGTGCGATGCGAAGAAGCATAGCACTGCATAAACGGACTGCGGCCAATCCGGAGTCGCTCAAATAGCGGGGTATAAAGTGGTCGCACACGTGTGTGCAGCTTAAAATGCTGCGTCTGAACGCTCTTATCTGTAGTTGTTTAGCTCTTAAGCCGCCGAATTCATCCGCCCTGGCCGTTCTAAACGCGAATGCCGATAATCGTAAGTGCGAATGAGGCGCTTTGCAACCTGATTTTGGCTGATGTTGCGCCAAATAACGCCACCTGCGCGCGCTGGCTCTTTGCTCTGACGGCTTGAGTTGTTAACAACTTGGCCGCCTTGAGTTGTTCTAACGCTGCTTCTGTGACGACAATCCAACCAGTACTTTGCAGAGTCAAGTTCAATAACTTCATTTATCCAAGTTGACGACTACACAGCGACGTGCGATGACAACACTGATAAGTCTTCGGCGGGCGTGTCTTTAGACTCGGCGCAGCAGAGTTGTGTACTTGATGCACAGTGTACTGCCGTAGTCCAGACGAAGAACTACAGATATAAAGTATGTCACGACGACCAGTACAAGTCAACAATGGAAGACTCAAAAGGAAGAAGCGTGTATGTGAAGACAAGTTCCGTTTTATCTCACTTGAAGCGAGACGACGCACAGGTGTACCCTAACCAAAACATACCGAAGGGGTACTGCAAGGAGGAGACGGCGATGTCTAAGCCGGTACCCGACATACAGCAGTGGAGTGATGACCAGCACCAAGCTGGGATTGCAGTCACGCCGTCAGTTGACGGCTCCGGACAACTGCTGTGGTCTGCCAAACTGTGCACGGGACTCTCGACTTCCATTCCAACACAATCCGAACATGGCACGATCTACATCTTCCTGCCATGAGATCCTAGGAAGGCAAAAAGTCTAAAGGCAGCACCACCCTGAAGAGCCTGCATGAAACTTCATCCGCCAACTACCCGAACCAATTACTCGAACCAGCCAGGCGCCAATGCTAAGTAGTCCCCCCGAAACGACAACCAGGTTGATTCAAAAAGCCTACGAAATCAACAGACTGTCTTCAAGGAATACCATACAAGGAATACTACCAGTGTAAGGTCATCGAGGACAAAAGCTCAACAATCATAATAGCACACCGGGCGTCCTCACCAGCAACGTTCTCGTCACCATCGCAACGTCAATTTCTCTCGGGTCAGTTAATGCCTCGCACGATTATGGCCTTCGACAATGAACGAGTCGCAGCCGGAAAGACCCTGGCGTATCCCCCATCAGCTACCCACCAGCAGGCAGCGCAATTTGCATCCCCGATAAAACATCGGCGGATTGTACTATGGCTCCAATCAAAGTTGTTCCGAGATAGTCATTCTGCAAGCCAGTCTCCTCTACGATAGTCCATTCAATGTCCCTCCATCGTAACTTGCCTCCGTACTCCTGGAAAGACTTTCCTCCTTTCCAACCAGATTCGGGCCAAAGTCGCTTCAGACTAGGGCCCAGATTCGGGCTGATATTCAATCGTGGCGTCATGTCCGGGAATTGGTTGCCTGATTTAGTCTGCTTTCTTATTTCCTCTGTTAGGAAGCCACATCTGGGAACCGTTCCGGCTTCAGGATACGAATCGTATCCTGAAGTTGGTCTCGGAAATCGTGCCTCGAAATCGCTCCTCGTATCCGGAAGTTCGTTTCTGGAAGCTTCTTCCGGGAAGATTCTCATGGGGTATGCTCTGCCTTCATGTGCCGTGGTGAAGCTCATTTCTGGACGTGTGAAGCACTGCGACTCGTCCATAGTGGCCTGGGCTGGCAATCGACTGACCGGCGGTCAACTGACTGACCCGCGGCTGACTGAGCCGAGCCGCCATGTGCGCGGAGCGCTCATTGTCTACGTGCTGGACCATGGTGTTTTAAGCACGCATGGTGCGTCAACTGAGGGTGTTGTACCTCAACTATCGAGCCTTGGCGTTACTCTCCGGCGGTCGGTGGAGTGTCGTTGACGGGTATGATATTTCTGCATACGCGCATGTTGTTGAGAGGCCCTTCTACAATGAGGTCGTTCTTTTGGAAGTGTTGTAGCAGCTTCGCCCAGATGCGGTGTTGTTGGCGGTAGAATTGTCGGGATAGCACACGCGCGTTTCCGCAAATTACTAAACCGTATTTGGCTCGGGTAAGAGCCACGTTGAGTCTGCGGGGGTCCTGTAGGAACCCGATACCGAGGTTGCGGTTGTTACGGACGCAGGTGAGAAGAATGAAGTCCTTTTCGCGACCTTGGAAGGCATCAACGGAGGCGATTTCGATATCACTGTAAGCGTTGGCGCCGAGGTTGGGCTGCTTGGAGAAGAGAGTTGAGATGTAAGCGCGCTGTCCGTCATACGGTGTGATGACACCGATCTGATCGGATCGCAGTCCGGACCGAAGAAGAGTGGTGACAAACTTTTCAATGACCGCGGCCTCACTACGATTCAGGTAAGAAGTACCACTGGCACTGATTTCCTCGTAACCAGTGCAGTTGTAGAAGAACATGGGTTTGGAGGGATTGGGCCAGGGGAAGTCGAGTCCGCGATATTGGCGGTCTCGAAGTGTAACCCCGTTCTGCAAAGCCCCGTCGTAAAACTTCATCGAGGGGAACTCAGAAAGACAGGGGTGCATACGGTACTGTACCTCGAGACGCATGGGTCGATTGCCGAGCATGATGACACGTTCAAACAAGCTGAGACTGAGTCCCGCCTTGGCCGCCTTTTTGCACATTATGACGGGTCCGAGTTGACAGTGGTCGCCAACCAAGACGACTTGACTCACGTTCTTGGCAATGGGGATGAGGCATTCGGGTTCCGTGGCTTGTGTCGCTTCGTCGAGCAAAACATGGCTGATTTGGAACTCCTTCAGGCGGTGGTCACCTGCGGCTACGCAAGTAGCGCAAATCACTTCGGCCGAACGCAGAATGTCACTCTCAATCTGCCTCTTTATGTGATCCAGCTTCTTTTCGTCCTCCTTGCTCAGTTCCCCGATTTCCTCTTTAAGCTTCAATAGCACCTGAAGACACTCAGACTGTGGGTCGCCAGGCAATTTAAACTGAGAGACCTGGTTGTGCAGACATAGGAACTCCACGTTGCTGCTGATGGTCTCACGGCTCTTCGCACTAACCCGGACGACACTCACACCCGTGCGATGGATCTTCTCCGCGAGCTGGTCCACGGCGACGTTGGAGGGTGCCACGACGAGCACTTTCCGTTTCGAGTTTTCCCGCTTATTTCCCTGCACTAGGTGGTACACAATAGTAGCGGAGGTCACCGTCTTGCCCGTGCCGGGAGGTCCTTGGATGAGACAGAGAGGTGACTGCAAGGCTTTCTTAACTGCCGCGACTTGGGAGGGGTTTAGGGACGCTAGGTTAGGTGCGGTGAAGTTGACGGGTAGCGGGGAGCGGATGACCTTGTCATCCACCTCCTTGCCTAGCAGTTTTTGGCACAGATAATTATCGTCGTCTAGGTGCTTTAGGGCCTTCAGTGCGCTCAGCATCCGATCGAAGCTGGTGCGTTTCCACACGAACTCGACCGTGAAACCGGTGCAAATGCCGGTGTCCCACGGGTGCTGAGCGCTTGAGGATGGTACCTTGAGCTCTAGACACACCTGTTCCGTTTGTGTGAGGCGCACGACCTGACCTGTGCAGGACCAGTTGTCTTTTTTCAGACGCAACTCGTCACCCACCACTACACGGCTTTCGTTGTCTTCCTTGGCAAAGACGAAGAAGGCTAGCTGCTTATCATTCAGCCCCACATCCCATTGTACCGCCACGTTCTCCTGCCGTTGCGACTCCTTCACCGTCTTGTCATAATCAGCCTCCGCCTGAACCAATTTCGAAAACGTATCGCAATACTCACCAACGTTACTGTACCACAACTTCACTTTCGGAAGGTTATCGTCAATACCCGGCTTGTCCACATCGTCCATCGTCGCGTCGCGGTACTTCTTCCAAATCTCCTCGATCTTGTTTATTTTCTGAGCCGAACATTTACGCGCTCGCGACAACACCTCGGCGTCCGGTTGAAGCACTAACCAGCTAACAAGACAACGGTTCTCAATCAACGGCAACCAATCCTTCACACTGAACTCGCTCTCACGCAGCGAGTTCTGCGTCAGACACGGCTCACGGCACAACAAGACCACCACACCTTCGCGCGCCGCTGGGATGTACCCCAGGATAAAAATGTTCCTGCATCCGCAATTGTAACACTCCAACGTGTTCTCACCCAACACCCCCTCCGGGTGCAACTGGACCTCCTTGTGCTTCGACCGAACCAAGTGGTTCACAATATGCGACCCACTCGTCGCTATCTACAACAAAACATTAGCCCATGTATCGTACGGTTAGGGTGAGGGGGGTTGGAGGAGGGGGGGG